GTTTCTTTTTTCATGTTGTTCGTTCTTTCTTGCTGGTGGTCTTTTTTCTTTCGTTCTTTCCGTATTCTGAGTTATTCTGTCTTTCTGTTTTCCTTCTGCGTTTCTGTCTTTCTCTCTTCCTTTCTGCTTGTTGCACATCTTATTCTTTTCTGTTGGTGTTTCTTTCTTTCTGCTGGTCTTTCTTTGTGTGTGTTTCCTGCTTTATATTTTTGCTTTTCTATGTATATATAGTTGTCCTTTTCTCTTTTTGTCTCTCATGCAGTGTTTCTGCGTAGCTTTCTGCTTTTTGTTGTTATTCTGTCTTTGTTTCGTTCAGCCTGTCTTTCCTCCTTTCTATTGCTTCTTTCATTCCTTATTCATTTCTTTCTTGGCTTTCTATTTCTATCTTTGTTTCCTTGTTTCTTTCTTTCTGTCGGCCAGTCGTTCCTTCCGGTTTTCTGTCTTTCTGCCTTCTCCCTTTTGTTCTGTGCTTGTTGTTTTTCTGTCATTCTTTCCCTATCAGAAACTCCTGTGCACATGTGAATTCATTCACCGAGCCGGAAAGAATCTCAAGAATCCTCAAGACGAGTCTTTCTCAATTCCTTGTTCATAATGCAGCGTCGTTTGATGTCATTTGCTATCCCTCCAGGGTAGATCCCGATCGGATCTCCTGCACATCCTTGGTACGAAGAGTCATTCCCACGGTTTCTGATGACCTTCGCACCAAAGTAAAACCCTGATCCGATCCCGTAGTTCTCACCTGGAGGCCCAAATGAGAGATAGTTTCCTGCTTAACAATACCAAATGAATTGAGCTGTGGGTCAAAACCTGGAGCACACGTTCCTTAGTCCATGTTGCGTTGGGAAAAAAACCTAAACCGAGGTCCCCCAGTTTTGACCCACAGACCTTTCTGTCGGCTCAACCAGTTGTCTGGCCCGTTCGTTCGGGTCGGAACATCCACAGAAGCTCACTTCGCACCTGGTCAAGCGCCAGGAACTCCGCAATGGATGGGTGCCCTGGTGCCAGCCCTCACCGGTGGCAGGACCAAATTGGTGGCACCGAATCACTGTTCTTTTGGGATCGTGATCAAACGCTTTTGAATTCTTCACCGAAAGACAGGACTATGATAGACTAATAGATTGAAATACCCGTGTCCTTCAAAAGAAATCACTGAAATCATCGGAGTACACCGAAATCATCGGACGATCCTCTGGAGCTTCAAGCAGAAAGTCTCTAGAGACGACAAGAAGATCAATTCTACAGAATTGAGGAATCAGGCAATCAATCAAGGGTGCTTATCATCAGCTAGGTTCCATGTTAGTCTGCATTGTTACAGTTCCGCTGTGGGGTTGCGTTGGCTGTTTTCAGCGCACAGTAAAAGTACGGTATATAATACTAAGGTTGGTTCATTCATGCGTTTTTTCTCCTTAGTAAGTCAGGTCATACTTTAACTTTTATAAAAATATATAATAGTGTGCTGTCGATTGAACTGGATTGAACGCATGTCTTAAACATATTGAACTCCCGGCACCGTATTAGCCCCTAAGGCCGCTAGGACCAACATAAGAATATATCCAATTCGAGTAGATGTGCAGGGAGCAGGGAGCGGTCACAGAGTCATGCAAATTGAGAGTGGTGCTTTGGAAGGTCCTCCTAAGCTCATTATTCTTCATGGACACGAGCATAAGGTTCACATGTTGTTTGGAGTGTTGAAATATATAAATCAGAAAGTCAGAAAGACCTGAAGAAAATCGTCCAGGAGACCAACGATTTGAAGTGGACATTCCTTTGATCTCCACCGCCAATGATGGAGTACGTCTCGTTTCCGTATGTCCATTCACGATCTCCGCCCACTTCCCGCACTCGCTCCTGGTGCTTCTTCTGTTTGACTGTGGTATGGCATTGGAGTTGGCGGCACTCCATCCTTAGCAGCTATTGTTCTAGGGGTTACCCCACCCAACAGAAACAACGATTTATGTCGGACAACGAGGCCAAGAAACAGCCGAAAAGCAGAGTGCTTTCAATCCGACAGCTTCAAGATCTTTACACGTAGACTGAGACCCAAAAAAGCAGAAGAACTACAGCTGAGCTGGAAAAAGAGCTTATGACCTCATATAACCTCTCAGCAAGACAAGAATCATGACATGCAGCCTCTTTACGGGTCTGCTGTCTGCTTCATTCTTCTGCACCTCTCCGTCTCATCTGGGCGCCCGGACCGGGTTACCGAAGATTCGCTGCAGACGAAGCTCCTGGGGCTCCGCCTTGGGAGACTGGGGATCGACTGGTGCACCTGCGCGAACGACGCTTCATTGCCCGAATCGTTCGATCACAGAGGACAACACGAGGGGTGGATCCAGGGACGGATCACTTCTGCATGTTTTGACTGGATGTTAAAGGTCTGGAAGTCTGGAACTTCCAATCTGGAAAACCCTCAAAGGATCCATCCACCTGAAGAGGAAGGACAGAAGGTTACAAGATGTTAAAAGCATAACTGGACGGAACATGATGGAACCAAAAGGAAGGCTCAACTCCTGTACAAACTGTACACTTAATAAGTGTACAGTTTGTACAGGAGTTGAGCCTTCCTTTTGGTTCCAT